TGTGATGTATGTGTGTCCCCTGAAACTATGCACGGAGTCCCGACAACACACGTGTCCAACATGCCCTGACTCTGCCCTTTCCCATGCCACCCCACTCGTCCCCAGGCTGCCACGGGGACTTGGTCATTGTGGGTTAGGTGAGTTTTCTAGAATTTTACATGAACAGAATCAGATAGTAGATACTTCTTCATTGTGGTAAAATGTACATAAAATGCCGTCAGCATCTTAACCGCCATAAAAGTAGAATACAGAGACACTCAGGACATGTACAGTGTTACACACCTATCACCTGCCCCTCTGCTTGGTTCTCGTACTGCCTCATGGCGATAGCAGAGAGCCCAGGGGTTAGGGGCTCAGCTCCCCAGGGCCACCCCACTTCTGACACCTGTCACAAATCCCAGGTTGTCACCTGTGCACTGACCGACCAGCCATAGACCCGGGGGTTCCCACGGCCCTCCTTGGGGGAGGATAGAACTGCACAGACAGAGGAAGAAGCACACGGGGTGAGCGCTGGGAGGGTCCCGAGCTCAGGAGCTGCTGTCCCGGTGGAGCTAGGCGCCCACCCTTCATGTGCTCAGATGGCGTTCACCATCCAGAAACTCTCTACACCTCGTCTTTACTTTCATGTAGGCTTCACCTGTAGGCATGATGCATCGTCCTCCCGACCTCCAGGTGCTCTCCTCTCTGGAGGATGGTGCAGGGCTGAACGTCCCAAGTGTCTCATCGTGGCTCAGCCTTCCTGCTGTCCAGCCCCACCCGGGAGCCACCCAGAACCACCTCTTTAAGACAACAGAAGGACCTGTCAGCCCACACACCCCAGGGGATTTAGGAGCTCTGTGTCAGGAACCAGAGTTAAAGACCAAAAGTTAGAACAGAGGGTGATCCTAGCACCCCAGTCCTGTAGGGAATTACAAGGGTTTCAGAATCACTGTGCCAGGAAGTGGGGCAGAATTGAGTATTTATATCTGTTATGTCACACACATGACGGCATAGCTGAACCTCAGGCACATGATGCTGACTGAAAGAGGCTATGCCTAGAAGGCCACGGGCGGCACGATCCCACTTATACAACATTCCAGAAAAGGGAAGCCACGGGGGTGGAGAGGGGCTTGCTGGGTGTGGGTGGGGTTAGGGTTAGGGTACGCCGGAATCGGCGGGTGACACAGCTCTCCTCACTGTGGAGACAGACACTTGATCTAGGCATCTGAGTGCACTCTATAAAGAGCGAATCTTTCCAAGTGTATGTTACATAAAATTGATAAAAAGCAAACTCTTATTGTGATGCATCTTTTCCCTTGGAGTGACAGTTTTATACTTTTTTATAAGCTGTTATTTCTGCCTCTTGCATTTTAGAGGTCACGTTTCCCACTCGCTTCAGAAAATTAACAAAATGTCCTGCAAGGCAGTGTAGGTCACGACCAAAGCCTTAGGATTAACCTTCCAGCTGTCAGATTGGTTGGAACCCCAGGGATGCCAGCACGTGCTGGGAACTCATCCACGGAGGGGCCCCCTTACAGGAGAGTGCACAGAGCTTCATGTGCATGGACCGCTTCGGGGACGGACGTGTGGCGCCATGAGGGGCCTCAGTGCTGTCACCGCCAGTCCTGCATGCCACAAGTGTCCACACACCCACGTGACCACCACCCAGAGCACGACGCCACATGTTCATGGCACCCAGGGAGTTCCCTTCGGCCCACTCCCAGTGAGCGCTCCAGGTCACCAGCCCGTGCTCTGGATGCTGTCCTGGTTCACGTCTCACAAGTTGGGCATGGGTGTCCTTTCCCCTCCAGCTCCCCCAGCCCAGTGTGGCCTCCATGAAATTCATCCACACCTGCATGGGGCACTGGTGTCTTGGTTGTGCCCAAAACACGTGGGTGGTTCTTTGTGATCGCTGCATTTTATTCCATGATATGGCCCGAAACCAACACCCTCAAAGGGCGTGAATCTACCAGTTCGTTCATCCAGCACCCTGCTTGTGGACACCTGGGTGGTTCCATCTGGGGCATCCTGAGTAAGGCCACTGGGACCGTTCTTGGCCATGTCTTGGAGCGAGCGTCAGGTCTCTGGGTTACTCCCAGAGGACAGTGTGTGGCCTGCAGAACTGCGTGGCCAGCTCTCGGTAGACGCTGCCTGGCGGCTCTCTCCACCGGCCACATTCGTAAGCTCTGATCCTTGCATCCTTGCCAACGCCTGGTATTTTCAGTCCTCCGACTTTGAGCTGTTCCTTTGGGCCTTTCTGATCTCTCCTTACACATTTCTTTGCATCTCCATTGTGAGCGCTGATGCTGAGCACGTTTCCGTGGCCATATGGGCGTCTGTGCATTCTTTTCTCAGAGTGCCTGTTCAGGTCTGTTGCTCTCTTGTGCTGTGTGCCTTTTTCTCCTTGACCAGCAGTTCTTTAAAATCCTGCCTGTGAGTCCTTGTTAGGCTTGCGTGTTGCAGATGTTCTTTCCTGGTCTGTGGCTTGTCTTCACGGTCTTCGCAGCATCTTCCAGCAGACAGTTCTTAAGTGAAGTTTAGCTCTCTCTCTCCCTTCAGGGTTGAAGGTGTTTTGGGTCCTGTGTGAGGGATCTTTGCTACTCCAAAATCAGGGAGAGCTTCTCTTACATTTTCTTGCATAAGGCTTACTGTTTTACCATTCCCATTCAGGACCAGGATCCATCGTGCATTGACCATTGTGCACAGTGTGAAGGAAGGTTACCCGTTGTTGATGCAGTGCTCTCACTGAGAACATGGTTGTTCCCGCAGAACTGTAGGCCTGCTTTTCTCCTGAATCACTTGATGGGCTCAGGATCTCTTCCTCACTGTTCCCTGCCGTTGCTCTGTCTGTCCCTCCTTACACACATGCACCAAGTGTTCACTGATGGAACTCTGCAGTAAGCCTTCAAAATCCTTCCCTTCCTGTACGGGTTTCTGAATAAGCTTTTGTATTTCCGCAACAACACCAGACACCCTGCTGCACGTTGATTGGCTTTCAGTTGAATCTGGGGGTCATTCGGGAGCCAGCGTTGGGTCTCCACCGCAGGAGCTCAACACGGGGTCTTTAACGTCTCCCAGCAGTGGTGTGTGGTTGGCTTTGTGCAGATGGCACACAGTGCTGGTTAGATTTATTTGAGGGGTTTCTTTATGCTTTACATAGATGGCACTGCTAAAAATTTCATTTTGTAATTGTTGGCCAGTGTGTTGAAATAGAATTGCCTCATGTATATTGTGCTTGCTTCTAGCAACTTGGCGGAAGTTACTTATTATAATATTCTGTAAGTCTCTCGGGTCTTCTACACACTGTGTCATTTCTGAATTACAGCAGTTTTGAGTCCTCCTCTTGGGCCTTTGTACCTTCCTGTCCTTCTCCCGCCCCCGCGCCCTGGCCTCAGTACTCGTGGTGCCCTTGCCTTGGTCCCAGCTTGGACACGGAGGCATCATGTGTCACCCTTGCGTCTGATGTGAGCCATAGGTTTTCTGTGGATACCCTTTATTAGAATGAGGTGTTTTCGGGGTGCCTGGCTGGCTCAGTTAGTGGAGCATGTGACTCTTGATCTTGGGGCTGTGAGTTTGAGTCCCATGTTAGATGTAGAGATTCCTTAAAAAATAAAAAAAAAATTAGAAGAGAGTAAGGTGTTCTCCTCTGTTCTCAGTTTCCTGGTCTGTTGTTTCTTAATTATTTTTTTTGTAATGGCTGGATTCAGTTTGCTGACATGTATTCTGTATAGGATTTCTGCATCTGTGTTGGTGAGACATGACTGGCCCATAAGTTTCCTTGCATCCTTGACAGATTTCAGTATCTGCTGTGTGTTGGCCTCATGATAAGAATTAAGAAACATCCCTTATCTTTAGACCCCAGAAGAGTTTGTATGTAGTCAATATGATTTCTTTCCTAAATGTTTGAGCAAACTCAGTAGCAGAGCCATTGGGTCTGGACTTTTCTTTGGGAAAGTTTTACAGATTCAGTTTCTTGCAGACTTATAGCTCTGTTCAGGTTTTCGGTTGTGTCCGTTTGGGTTAGATTAAGCCTTCACGGGTACTCTGTGCAGGTCACCAATGCTGTGGCACGTGTGGGCATGAAGTTATCCTAGTGTCCACTTCCGGTCTTCCTCATGCCTGTGGGAGGCGCAGTGACAGTTGACATTCGTAACTTGTGTCTTCTATTGTTCTTGACAAGTTTTGCTAAGGGGTGTTTTATTTTTTTTAGATCTTCAAAGAACTGACTTTCGCTTTTGCTGACTTTCTGTATTGAGTATTTGCTTTTTTTTTTTTTTAAGATTTTATTTATTTATTTGACAGAGAGAGACAGCGAGAGAGGGAACACAAGCAGGCGGAGGGGGAGAGGGAGAAGCAGGTTCCCCGCTGAGCAGGGAGCCTGATGTGGGGCTCGATCCCAGGACTCTGGGATCATGACCTGAGTCAGAGACAGACACTTAATGACTGAGCCTCCGAGGCGCACCTCTTTTATTTTAATGTCTGCCTGTTCCAGTGTTCTTCCTTTTTTTCTTCCTTTTTTGAGGTAGGAGCTTAGATCAGTGTTTTCCAGGCTTCTCTGCTGACACATGTGCTCAACACCGTGGTCTCTGCTCACGTGGTGAAGTTCTGATGGGCGGTATTTTCCGTGTCACGTTTAGAGCCCTTCTTCATTTACGCTGTCCGTTCCCTCGCCCATGGTTATCCCGAGCTGCTGCTGGACTCGCAGACTTCAGGGGCCTGCTGGTTGCCCACTGATGGACTGTCTGCTGGATGGGGTGCTCTGTTCCTGTCCCCGAGCTGCATTCCTGTCACCCGATGTGACAGCTGGGACAAGCACCTCTTACTGTCCCTGGTGCATGGGAATGAACGCACGTCTTGTGTTTGGCGGGAACACTGCGCTCCTGTGTGCAGGGCTGATGGGCTTGAAGGTCCGGTGTCTCTGCAGCAGAGGTTCGCTGTGGCATCCCCACGGGAGCGCGCGGTCGTGGCAGCAGCTGGGTGTCCAGGAGGTGCTGACTGCCCGCTTTGCCCCTGTACTGCAGGCCTGTGGCTGCCCGCTCTACTGGAAGGGGCCGCTGTTCTGCAGTGCCGGGGGAGAGCGCACGGGCTCCGTCTCTGTCCACAAGTTCGTCGCCATGTGGAGAAAGTGAGTCTTGCGCCTATGCGCTGGGGGCGGGTGTTGGGAAGGGAGACGTGTCCCCAGCTCTGCGCAGTCCCAAGGGCAGATGCTGCGTCACGGCTCATGTTCTGTGGCCGAGACGGCAAGAGGAGGGAGCTAACCTCCAGGGCACGTGGCATGGTGTGCTGTCCCTTCCCGGGCCTGCTCTTGATCACATCTCGTCATGGCCCCGTGCCCTCCTCACCACCTGTGTCTGGGAGGGGCCTCGTGGATCTGGTGCGTGGGGACCGCTGGAACGTCCTCTTTCATGGCAGGATCCTCCAGAACTGTCACGATGACGCTGCCAAGTTTGTCCACCTGCTCATGAATCCTGGCTGTAACTACCTGGTGCAAGAAGATTTCATCCCCTTCTTACAGGTATGCCCTGGTGTCCACACCACACGCACCTGCTCCTCTCCTCCCAGGTCTACCCCTGCGTCCACACCACACGCACCTCCTCCCAGGTCCACCCCTACACGTACACCGCACGCACCTGCTCCCCTCCTCCCAGGTCCACCCCTGCGTCCACACCACACGCACCTCCTCCCAGGTCCACCCCTGCGTCTACACCACGCACTGGCTAGGGGTCTGGCTCCCTTCCCTCAGGGTACTGCTTCCTACAGACATGGCCCAGGGACCAGCCCCTCTCGTGTGTGAGTGATGAGGCCACGTGTGCCCCACACGGTGCAGGCGTGTGTGAGTGGCAGGATCACGTGTGCCCCACACGGTGCAGGCGTGTCTGAGTGGGGGGGACCACATGTGCCCCCCACGCGGTGCAGATGCATGTTGAGTGGGGAGACCAAATGCAGCTGCAGAGCATGAGGCCACAGAGACGTGGGGACTGCAGCCCCTGGCTGTGTCACCTGCTGCATAAAAACAGGTCATGGTGTTCTAGAACATTCTCTGCTTCCCTTCAGACTCATTTAGAGCATCATGGCACAGTCTGAGACAGATAATCGAGGGTGAATGGTAGATTTGTCACTGGGCCTTCTGTGTAGCCATTCTGAGTAACTGGATTATTCCAGCAGATGTTACCTAAAGGCTCATGTGACTGTAGCTCGTAAAATGAGGGTATTTAAACCCTCCCTGTGGACCTCTGTGTGGGTCCTTGTGCATTTATATGCGTTGAGTCCCAGTTAATTGTCAGAGGTCACGATGGTCGCTTCCACCACCCTGTCCCGTGCTTCCTCAGCATGCAGCCTAAGGGATTTACAGAGTTGCACCCTTGGGGTTATGTTTCGTAAGCAGCTGTGTGGCTGAGTGTTCTGTGCACAGCAGCCCTGTCCCTGTGGAAGCCGCAGGGGTTGGCAACAGACACAGGTGCCCGTGCTCGGCGGGCATGGAGCGTGTCCCCAAGCTCCATCTTGTCTTCTGTGCGCAGGACGTGGTGAACACGCACCCGGGCTTAGCCTTCCTGAAGGAGGCGTCAGAGTTTCACTCTCGCTATATCACCACTGTGAGTATTCGGGCACAGCCGGCTGCCCCTGGGACCCCAGTGCCAGGCCCCACCACACATTTGAGCGAGGACCCAGATCCTCGGGCTATGGCCTTTCTGGACCCCGATTTTCTCGCCCACAAATAAGATGTTGGCAGTGCCTGCTGAGTGGGGCTGAGGGAGGGTCCTCGAAGGGCAGATGTCCCGTGTTGAGGCACAAAGCACAGCGAGTTCGTGGAGAGCCTGGCGGGCCTTCCCACGTGTCTGGAAGTCAGACACTAGCGCAAGGGAGGGGGCGTCCCAGAGATCCATGTGGTCTCCTTCCCCGGGCCAGAGGGAGAGGGCTGGCCATGGGCTTCTCAGCCTGGGAGGACGTCTTAGCTTTGGGGGAACACACGTGCCTGCTCTTTGGACCACAGGGTTCACAGGCACTTTCATCCCCAACGCAACTGTTTGACAAACACAGAGTGAGTGCCTCGGCCAGCACATGGGGTCCTGCATCCCCCGGTGTCCGGGCGCTCTGCTGACCGCCTTCCTCCTGCAGGTCATACAGAGGGTCTTCTACACCGTCAACAGGTCCTGGTCAGGGAGGATCACGTGTGCAGAGCTCCGCAGGAGCACCTTCCTGCAGGTAGGCCGCTGACCAGTGGGGACACGGGGCCTCCATATGCCCATGCCTCCTGTCCAGCTGCCGTCCTCCTGTCTGCCGTGCTCCGTCTTGCGTCTTCCATCCACCAGTCTATCCTCCACCCTCCACCCTGGACCGTCCACCCTCCACCCTGCACACCCTGGACCGTCCACCCTCCACCCTGCACACCCTGGACCGTCCACCCTCCACCCTGCACACCCTGGACCGTCCACCCTCCACCCTCCACCCTGGACCGTCCACCCTCCACCCTCCATCCTCTGTCTTCCATCCACCAGTCCACCCTCCGCCCTCCGCCCGCCACTCTGGACCGTCCACCCTCCACCCTGCACCCATCCGTCCACCCTCCACCCTGCACCCCCATCCTCCATCCTCTTGCGTCCGTATCTTTCATCTTCTGCCCTCCTCCACGCACCCTCCACCCTTCTTTCCATCCTCCACCCTCTTACGTCTACCCGCCATCCTTCACCCGCGTCCATCTTCCATTCTCCACCCTTCTGTTCGCCACGCTCCTCCGTCCATCTCTACCCCTCTACCCACCCATTGACCATCCACCACCCATGCAGGAGAAATGACCCATGGGCACTGGAGACCGAGGTGTGCCCTTCACTGGGGTTCGGTGCACGTGTGGGCATGGATGAGGAGGGTGCTGATCTGCCCACAGAAGGAGGCCCCAGCCTGTGAGAGGGTTGATACTTGCAGGACTGCCGCACGTTGCCAGCAGTAGCCAGGCTGAGTTTTAGGCACAACCCTGACTGCAGTGCGCTCCTGACGTAGATGCTGTGCTCCCAACCCCAGGCTTGTCTTGACCAGTTCTGGGCCCTCCACCCTCGTAATAGGAGACACCTGGGGCGGGGGGCGGATCCCACCCACAGGAAGCCCAGCTCCTGTGGAAAATGCACCAGTTCTGGTGGGTTTGTTTTGGCAGAATGTGGCGCTCTTGGAAGAGGAAGCAGACATCAATCAGCTGACAGAGTACTTCTCGTATGAGCACTTCTATGTCATTTACTGCAAGTTCTGGGAGCTGGACACGGACCACGACCTTCTCATCGATTCCCAGGACCTGGCCCGGCACAACGACCACGGTTAGTATGCAGCCTGTGTGGGATAAGGGGACCTCCAGGTGCTGGCCGCTCAGGCACCCTGCTCTGTCCAGTGCCACTGGCCATGGCCACCTCCCCTGGGCCTGTGGCCTGATGTCTAAAATTGCCTTCCTGTCTTTCACACCCCTCGTCTCCAGCAGTGGTATGTTCTTACAGGACATACGGGAGATGCAGGATGCACATGCACGAGACACATGAGGGATGGGGACACATGTGGGACATGCAGGGCACACAAGATGGGGACACACATGGGTCATGATGCACACGGGAGACAGAAACACACACACATTGCAGGGTGCTGACCTGCCCACATAAGGAGGCTCCAGCTGTGAGAGCAGTGGTGCTCGCAGGGTTGTGCCCCATGCTGCTGGCAGCAGCCAGGCCATGTCTCAGGTGCAGCCCTGACCTGGGCGTCATGAGAAGGCAGGCAGAGGGGTCAGAAGGCAGGCAGGGCTGTCCTGTGCAGCCCACGAGGTAGGTTTCCTTTGGTGATCCACGTTTTCAGTCTTTGGATGTGTGCATCCGAGTGAGCTGTCACACAGTTCCCTGGGACTGCTGTAACAGAGGGGGCCTAAAAAAACAGCAGAGTACCCTCAAAGTATCCAGTCAAGGAATTTATGGGCGGTCACCCACGAGGGCTGTACAGGAGTTTGCTGAGGTTGTTGTAACAAATGACCACAAACCGGGCCCATCCCACAACAGGAATTCATCCTCTCCCAGGTCTGGAGACCAGAGTCCGAGATCCAGGTGGGGCAGGACCGCTGAGATCCAGGCGGGGCAGTGCAGTGTTCCAGGGAGGGTCCTTCCTGCCTCTTCCAGCTTCTGGGGCTCCAGGTGTCCCTGGGCTGGTGGCCACGTCCTTCCCATCTTTTTTTTGCCTCCGTCTTCATGTGGCTTTTCCTCTGTGTCTCCTCTTGTGTCTCTTACAAGGACACCTGTCATTGGATTTAGGGCCACCCTGATCCAGGGTGAGCTCATCTCAGATCCTTCCCTTCATCACATCTGCAAAGATCGTATTTCCATTTAAGGTTCAGGAATCGGGATTTAGAAATGTTTTTTTTTGGGAGACACAATTCAGCCTGTTCTAGCACCCAGTCATTTTGTATCAGGATAACGTTCATCAAGGTAGGATGAATCGGGAGATGTGGAAAGAGACTGTCTTCGTTTCTCTGTCCCGTGGGTCCTGTGTGTGGTATGGGCTGAGCTGTATCCCCCCAAAATTCTTTTGTCAGAGTCACATTCTCCAGGACTCCAGAATGGGACCATAAGTGGAAGTGGGGTCTTTAAAGAGGTGATTACGGTAAAATGAGGTCATTAGGGTGGGCCCTGATCTCATAGGATTGGGGTCTTGGAAGAGGGGATGAGGACACAGACACCCACAGAGACGACCACATGAGGACACGGGGAGAACACGGGGTCTACTCATCAAGCAGAGAGGCCTCAGGAGGAACCCGCCTCGGCCCCTCCTGGATCTCAGACTCCCGGCCTCGGCCCCGCCTGGATCTCACACTCCCAGCGAGAGAATAAATGTGTTGTTTAATCTGCCCCATCGGTGGTGCTTTGTGACAGGCGCCAAGGCTGACTGATGGCCGTGCTTTTCACTTCTCATTTGTCAGGTTTTAGTTTAAACACATTGGGGTTTTAATCACAAAGGGAGAGTGTTTGGAGGTGGAGCATCTGAGAGTGTGAATGTAAATTTGGTCTGCTCTTTAGTCTGCTTCTGTCTTGGAGCCCCTGGGTCAGCTTTCCACTCTCGTGGCTCTGACTGGGGCTCAGTCCTCGGAACAGGAAAGCTCTGGGCGGCGCCCTGGGGAGGACACATGCGGGAGAGTAGGTTCCTCAGGTTCCACCCCCACCAGGCCTGGGGCTCAGCATTTCGGACCCAAGCCTGCCCAGCTTTCCCCGAGCGTTTGAGGTTGGGCCGTGACCGCAGGTATGGGCAGGCGGCTCACGGCCCAGTTCTGTTTCTGCAGCTATATCCACCAAGATGATCGAGAGGATATTCTCAGGGGCGGTGACAAGGTACGTCTCAACAGTCATTTTCTTGTGATTTTGGCCAGTGTTCTGTGCCTGAGTCCGGTTCTGTCTCATTCATTCCCTAATGTGAGCTTGTCGTGTGTTGAGAGGGAGTGCCATTGTCACGTGAGGTCATGAGGAGGACACATGCTGTCGTCACACAAGGTCATAAATAAGGGAGGATACATGCCACTGTCACATGAGGTCCTAGTGGAGGACATCTTTGTCACATGAGGTCATTAAGGGAGGACACATGCCATTGTCACACGCTCGTAAGGGGAAACACAGCTTTGTCATGTGATGTCATTGGGGGACATACACAGTGCTGTTACACCAGATCATAAATAAGGGAACACACGTCTTTGTCATGTGAGGTCATAAGAAGGGGGGGCAAACACCATGATCACATGAGGTCGTTTAGTAAGAGGTGGGGGAGGACAGGCCCCATGTGGGTGGTTCATGTCAGGCCCTGGGCATCTGAGAAGGCCCTGGAGTAGGCCACAAGGCGGCTGTGACTGAGGCCACAGAAGCCACTCCTGCCCCGTCTGCCATTCCAGGGCAACCTCTGCGTGCACATGTCCTTTGAAGCCTTCCCCCAAGTAGGAGTCCAGTGTGGGACGGGGCCAAATGCAAGGCTCCACTCACCCAGCAGTGAGGTGGACAGGGGCCTCCCACCTCACGCCGCTTCTCCCTGACACACATTTTGCCTGTTGGTCTCAACCCTGAACCCAGGGGCAGAAAAGTCCAGAAGGAAGGAAAAATAAGCTACGCTGACTTTGTCTGGTTTTTGATCTCTGAAGAAGACAAAAAAACTCCAACCAGGTACGTATTTGGTGGTTGTCCCGGTACAACAGTTGGAAGCCGTAGGCTAGCGGTCACCCCTGAGCGTGGGCGCCACCAGGGGTCCATCCAGGGAAGGCCAGTCCCAGGCAGGGTCCACGCTGCAGTTAGTCCCGGTGGGGTCAGTCCCCAGCGGGGTCTATCACAGATGGCCAGGCTCACCGAGGCTCGCACTGACATGCTGTGACCGCAGCATCGAGTACTGGTTCCGCTGCATGGACCTGGACGGGGACGGCGCGCTGTCCATGTTTGAACTGGAGTACTTCTATGAGGAGCAGTGCCGCAGGCTGGACAGCATGGCCATCGAGGCCCTGCCCTTCGAGGACTGCCTCTGCCAGATGCTGGACCTGGTGAAGCCACAGAACGAAGGTAATGCCCCCAGAGATGGGACACCCCGTGTGAGGGGTGCCCCCTTGCGAGGGAATGTACCGCTGTGAGGGGACACGTTGTCTGAGGTGGTTCCTCTCTGTGAGCTGTGATGTACCCCGATGTGAGGGGACACCGTCGTGTGAGATGTCCCTGTGTGAGGGGGCACATAATGTGAGGTGATTTTCCCTCCACCCCCCCATGAGATGTGATGATGTAGTGCCTCCCCATGTGAGGGGACACGTCGTGTGAGGTGATTTCCCCTCCCCCATGAAATGTGATGCTCCCCCTGTGTGAGGGGATGTCCCCGTGTGAGGGGGGACACATCGTGTGAGGAGATTTCCCCGTATGAGGGGACACATGATGTGAGGTGATCTCCCCCCCGTCCCCCATGAGATGTGATGATGTGATGCCCTCTCCATGTGAGGGGATGTCCTCCTGTGTGAGGGGACACATCATGTGAGGTGATTTTTCCCCCCATGAGACGTGATGTCCCCCTGTATGAGGGGACACATCGTGTGAGGTGGTTCACCCCTGTGAGCTGTGATGCCCCCCCATGTGAGATGTCCCCCTTTGTGAGGGGGACACATTATGTGAGGTGACTCCCCCTGGTGAGATATGATGCCCCCACCCCATGTGAGGAGATGTCCCCGTGTGAGGAGATACATTGTGTGAGGTGATTCCCCCGTATAAGTTGTAATGCCCCCACATGTGAGGAGATGTCCCCAGGACATCCCCCTGTGATATTGTTGCCCCCAACTCTGAGGGAAAGTCCCCTCTGTGAGATGTGAGGGGCACCCCATGTGAGATGTGTTCATGTGATGGGATGCCCCCCATGTGAGATGTCTCCCTGTGGTACGCCCTCTGTGTAAGGGACACCCCGCGTGACGGGATGTTCTTCCTGTAAGATGGGATTCCTCTATGTGAGGGCACATTTCCCTTGAGTGAGGGGATCCCCCCATATAAGGAGATGTCCTCACGTGAGGTGTGATGCTCTCTGTGTGAGAGACGCCTGTATGAAGGGACGCCGACTCAGGGAATGGCCATCCCTACTCTGAGTTGGTGACAAGGGTGAGTGGGGCCTTGGGGAGGCCTGGTACCAACCATGTCACAAGACCCCACCCAGGACTGGGTGAGGTGATGTCCTCATGTGTGACATGAGCACCCTTGTTCACTGGTGGTGGTCACTGTTGAGTGTGGACACAACACAGCGTGTCCCGGCTGTCCACCTTCCCCTGCCTCCCGCAGGCCCCGTGTGTGCCCCTCAGCTCTCACCCGTGGTGAGGGCCCTGTGCTGTTGGCTGTCCACCTTCCCCTGCCTCCCTCAGGCCCCGTGTGTGCCCCTCAGCTCTCACCCGTGGTGAGGGCCCTGTACTGTTGGGTGAGTACACACCTGTCCTACCAGGGTCAGGAAGGTGGCGTCCCTGACCCCACGTCTCCCTGCCTCTGCTCCCTGGTTTCCCACCTCAGGGACCTCAAGCCCAAGTTCCTGGTGTGGGGCGGTTCCCTGGGCGCCTGTCCCCTCCCCGCCCAGGATCCCACCTGGGGTCCTCCTGACACCCCTCAGCTGAGAAGCCTGCGTCCAGGGAGAGGCCAGCAGTGGCACAAGGACGGACCCCAGGACACCTTCCAGGGTCAAAGGGACAGAGGGAGACTTTTCCCAAACTGTGATGCCTTGATTAGTATTGTTTCCATGTCGTGGAATTCTGGTCTTGGGGTATTTATGGTGTTTGTTGAGTTCTGGGGCCGCCATGTCCAGGTCCTGCCTAGCAGTGGATTTCCTCCCATCCTGGCGTCGTGCTCCATGATGTGTGCGTAGGCACCCCCTGGCGGCCAGAGTTTCTCTCTGTTCCTGCGCTCCGCCTCCACGTCTGTCGTCTGACCCATTCTGGGGCACACAGGTCCCCAGGCTTCTGGTCTGCACTGCTGCCCCACCTAGCCTTCCTGCCCACACCAGGAACTGCCTCATGCGGGTGTGTTTTATGAACAGTTGCATCAGAAAATGCAGTATTGTGCCATGTTTTTCAAGGCGCGTCATGACGGACGTGCACACCCGTCAAATGCAGATTTGTGAAAGCTCTCACCCGGGAGTAATCGTCTCTGAACTGTTTCATCTCCTGCAGGGAAAATCACCCTCCATGACCTGAAGAAGTGTAAACTCGCCAATGTGTTCTTTGATACCTTCTTCAACATTGAGAAATACCTCGACCATGAGCAGAAGGAACAGGTCTCCCTGCTCAGGGTGAGTGTGGCAAGGAGCACGTGGGGTGGCGGCCGCATCCGCGCCGCGTGACACACCTGTTTCATCTAGGAGAGTGAGAGCGAAGGCCCTGAGCTCTCCGACTGGGAGAAGTATGCTGCCGAGGAGTACGACATCCTGGTGGCTGAGGAGGCTGTGGGAGAGCCCTGGGAGGACGGGTGAGTGTGCGGACGGAACGCAGAGATGGCTGGGAGGGCCACGCGTGGTACGTGGGCAGCGGGCGCCTCCTTTCCCACATCCATCTGACCCCCCCCCCCACGGGCTCGGGCCAGAGACGGTGGCTCGTGGGGGCTGCTTACCCGCTTGCTTTGGGCACCTGTGATGTTTGGCTGACAAGCGTGTGCAGCTGTGAGGAGGGAACCTCGGTGGGGAAGAGAAGGTGGCGGTGGGTGTCCTGAATCCTCAGTGAAACCCACTCATGCCTGGCGGCAGCCTGTGCACAAGCCTGGCCCCAGAGGAGCTTCGAGAGGCCCCTTCCCAGGGTCACGGGGGCTGCAGAGCCAGCCAGCCCAGGTTCCAAGTCTGCAGCCACAGCAGGGCCCCGGGTGTGAGTGCGGGCAGGCCCGGCCCCCTGCCTGTCCTGGTGCCCCTGCGTCCGCCCCTCTCCCAGAAACAGACCCAGAGCTGTCATTGCTCTGCCCCCAAGAGCTGGGACCCAGGAGCACCAGCCAAGAGGGCCCAGCGCAAGCCGTGCGGTAGGGGCGTTTGAGGCCTGTGGCCCAGAGCCCGGCCTCTCCCCGTCCCCACGCTCAACAACCCCCCCGCCAATATGCTTGCTCCCCGCCCCCACATCGTGGCCAACTCCCTTTTGTCTTGACCCTTGGGTCACCCGGGACCCTGGGACGTCTCTTGCCCAGTCAGTCCCTCCCACCAACTGTGGAGGGCGCACAGAGCTGGGGTCCTGGAGAGCCCGGCTCAGGGGCAAGGACCCGACAGACCCTCATAGAGTCGCCGCGGCTGGGAACCTTGTCCTCTTGGTACCTGCTCATGAGGCCAGTGCAGGGAGACAGGCCTCGAGGCCCCATTTGCCGCCCATACTCCTCTCCCCTGTGGCTGTGTGCGGGATCGGGGCGGGGGGGTGTCCTGTTCCCAGGCCTGTGGCTGGTCCCAGCCCCGCTCCACCCTCCGGGCTTGGGCCTTCAGGCGTGTAAACAGGCCTGTGTTCAAGGGTGGGGGGACTCCGGTGTCTGCACACAGACCCAATGGGCTCGGGTCACACGCGTGTTCCCCGTTCCCATCAGAGGCCACTCAGCCCCCGGGTCAGGGTCACGCAGGGTCAGGCATGTTTCCACATGTGGTTTGTGGTGCAGGACCGGAGCCCATGGTAGGGCGTCCCCTCTGCCCCTCGCGACGGGTCCTCCATGCAGGAGTTCTCAGTTTGGTGGCCACGGGGCTGCCTGCTCGGGGGTCTTCACCCCCACCCCCAGGAGGGTTTCAAATGGGCAGGGGGCACTTCGAGCATCCCCCGTCCCTCCCCATTCGGACTCTTGCCAGGTGCTGGGCTGGTCTTCATTCGGCATTTGTGGTTTTCCTGGACGCCACAGAAGCGGAACCCCGCCGTCCCCTCGCACAGGCTCTGCCAGCAAAAGGTGTTAGCGAGCCGGGCCTTTCAGTGGGCACGTCGGGCACTCCGTGTCCCCGCTGAGCAGGGTTCCGACTTTGGGTGACCACCTGCCGGGCCACGGATATTCAGTGGCTTCCCCTCTGGTTCTGGGCAGGTGTGAATAGCGCTGCTGTGAACCATTCCCACATGGGCCTTGTGTGAACGTGGGTTCTCACATCTCTGGGTTTGGTGCCTGAGGCTGCGGGTCACGTGGGGACGCCTGTTTGCCTTCACCAGAACCCGCAGCGGCATCCCACATGGTGGGTGATGGTTCTAGCTGCTCCACATCCTCGTCAGCACGGTCTGCTTGCGGTCATTTACATGTCAGCCCGTCCCTGGCATGCCACCGGGTGTGTCCCCTCGTGGCTGTGAGCGTCCCTGTCCTCGTCGGGCCTGCGTGGTCCCCGGGGGACGTGCCTTGTCTCTGCGCGTTCTCCACGTCGGATCATCCGCGTTCTCACTGAGGTTTTACAGTTCTTCATGGCTCGTCGATACAGGTTCTCTGTCGGATCTGTGGTTTGTTGACTTTTTCTCCAAACCTGTGGCCAACTCCAACTGTTTTCGTTGGAATGTGTGTCTTGAGAGAGACGCTGTTCTCATTGATGAAGGGCCAGGTGTCCGTCCATTGGCACCACACGCTGTGTTCTGCTGTCCCGTGTCAGACTCTGCTGCCTTGTCCAGACCCACAGAGCTCTTGTCTGCACGTTTCAGTTCCACGTCCAGGTCTGTGGCCCATCCTGACTTCCGCGGGGCGTGAGGTGAGGGTCCAGGTTCCTGCCCCGCTGCTGCAGCACTGTCTGGGGCGGAGCCATCAAGGGGCTAGCCACGTTCACGGTGACATGCGTGCGTGCCAGGTCTACCCAGTGCACTGTGCGTCTGTCCACACACCTCTGCAGCCTGTTCGTACCACCACGGCCTGAGGGAGAGGCCTTCGCTCTCCTTCTCATTCACGGGCATTTGGGCCACGCGGTGCTTTGCGTTTCCACAGGAGTCGTGGAATCTGCCTGTGGGTTTTCTGAAGAGGCCTGCAGGCCTGGTGCCGGGTCTCTGGGCGGGGAGAGTTGGAGAATCGACTCCCTGGCCCCACCGGCTGGCTGTGGGGTGGATTTTGAACCCATCTGCGCTCTTCACCAGCCTCCTGGGCTTGTGTCTGCAGCTCTGTGGTGACGCGGCAACCCCGTGGTCCGATGCTGCCCGCGTTCTTTCTCACGGTCGTGTCGTCGGTTCCTCCACCTTTACAGCAAGTCTAAGGATAAGCTTGTCTGTTCCTACAAAACAATAGATGGAAGATTCAATTATTCATTTTCCGAAATCTCACGTGGTGTGGAGATGGTGGGCATCTCAAAGATGCCGTGTTTCCTAACCCACAAGCGTGTGTGTCTGCGCGTAGTCAGGTATCATGCTTTTCCGCCAGGATTGTGTGGTTTTTGGCACCTGGGTCTTTGTCCTTTGTGACATAAGTGCTTCCTGACGTTTGGTGTTGGGAAGGTAGTTTAAACCTGGAACTTGTGGCTCTCTGTGGAAAGCGCACAGCAGTACGGTCTGTAGATCTGTAGTTGGCACTTGTATTCGATGCACCTGTTGGCCGCAGGAGCGTCTGTATCGGTTCTCTGGGGCTTCGTGTGTGGACAGTCACGTTGCGGGTGAGGAGGACACTTTCACATTCTCCGCCCGCCCGCCGCGCTTCCTAGAATGTCCGCTACGATGTTGAGTGCCAGTGGGCATGTGTCCCTGCCTGGTCTCCAGTCCGAGATGCAGAGGGGTCGTCATGGACGTTGTCAGGTGCCCCTGTGGATACGGGGGATCTTCACAGGTTGGCCCCAGAGAAACCCTACTTGGTCACATTGTCCGATCCCATTCACAAAGTCGACTTGTGGCCTCTTACCTCGTGGCACCACATCTCGTGTGGGTGTCCAGGTAACGCCGGCCTCCAAGTGCGGGCACAGCTCCTCTTCCCTTGGGGTGGAGGCAATCCGCCAGTGACCCCGCTGGGCCTGACGCTTCCCCAGGGTGAGTTCACAGCCATCTGGGGGCTGATGGTGGTGCCTCGCGGGCTGTGGTGCACGCGAACCCACGCGTGTGAGTGAAAGAGGGGCGCCCTGCCCCAGGCTGTGGCGGCCATGCCCCCGTGTGCTTACCCGCCCGTCCTTGCAGGTACGAAGCCGAGCTCAGCCCTGTGGACCAGAAGCTGAGCTCCCTGAGGTCCCCACTAGCCCAGAGGCCCTTCTTTGAGGCGCCGTCCAGCCTGGGCACCGTCGAGCTGTACGAGTATGCGTGTGAGGACGAGGACCTGCAGCCCTCGTGACCTGCGCCCAGGTCTGGATGCAGAGCCGCTTTCGTGTAAAGAACAAAACTGTTTGATCGTTGAGCTGTCTGTTCTAGAAAATGAAGTGATTTGTATGGGATGATAAATTTTTATTTATTCAACACGGAAGCTGGTCAGATGGTCATTGAGCATGTGTCCCCGCCTGCCCGGGACCCCTGGCTGGGAGAGGAGACACGCCGGCCCCACCGTCTAGCTCTTGAGTGCAGGCGTCTGGGGACTTACCCATACGGCCGACCGGCCGCTCGCAGGGGAGCCACGTTCTGCTCCAAAGCATCGGCCTCAGGGGCGTGAGCCGCGCACGGACTTCCGGGGCTTGGATGGCCCTGTGTTGTTCTCACGTCCTCAGTCAGGAACATTCCAGGGGCCCCGGCGCCACAGTGGCCCCGGGACCTTCCGTCCACAGGAGCGTCTCCAGGTGCCGCCCCAGCTGCAGCCCTGCACGCGGGGTTTGGGAGGGAGCACCCCATCGAGCGTACTTACGTTTTCGTGTAAATGTACAAAACGTGTAAAGTTGACTTTTATTTGGTGTGTATAGCAGTTTAAAAATGTTTTACGAGATCACGTTTGTATTTTCAAATAAAGAATTTAAGGATTTTCTCTGACGGGCTCGGCTTGCCCTGCCCACGACACAGCACACGGAGGTCACAACGGGCACAGACGCCAGGCGGGGATGCTACGGGGGGCAGACAGCAGTGTCCCCACGGGAGACCTCACGCAGTGTGCACGGCTCTGGGACACGGGAAGCCCGGCCGAGGGTCCCAGGCCGTGGAGCCCAGAGTGTCCAGCAGGGTGGCCCTCCTGCCCAGACCTGCACGCAGGCCACCCGTGGTCCTGACACCATGGCCAAGGGCCGTGCTTTCCCACAGCGGCTTCCAGAGTCCTGGAGAGGGCACAGCCAGAGGCACTGGTGTTCCCCGCACCCCTCGGACGGCAAACCCCTAGGCCCAGGCCTACGCAGGGCTGCAGAGGCCTGAGCTCCCGGGGCCAGTTCTTGCCTGTGCACGACCGGCAGGAGTCCTCCCCACAGACCGGCCTGGCTGTCCATGTCCACACGGGGGCGTCCTCCTCCACACAGTGGCCCCGGGAGTTCTGGCGTGGCACCAACATGGGATCTGAGGCGTGGAGTGCCCCACCCTGTGTGTCCAGGGAGGGCGGCCTATGTGCGTTCACCCCCCGCCCCGAGTCGGGTGCAGCTCGCCTGCCTTAAGTGAGCAGGTGCTGAGCCGACCGCAGGCAGCAGGCCCGTACCTGCCCTGCATCCGGCCCTCAGCGCTGGACTCCAGGAAACGCCCAATAGCGGGGCCCTGGGCCGGGAAAGGAAGAGCTAGAGCTGCTCCATGTAGAACTACTCCATGTAGGACCACGCCGGACTACAGAGCCAGCACCATGCTCCACGGCGGGGGGCAAAGCTGGTTCCGGAACCTTCTAGCCAAGCACAGCAGTCGCCAGAGGGAAGTCGCAGGCGGGTAGGCACCTGATGGGTAGGTGGGTGGGTGCGCGGGCACCCCGGGGGGCCCCAGTCAACGGTCACGTAGCCTTCTCCCCACATACGGGGCTGGGATGCGCAGGGGCGGATGGCAGGGGGTCACCATCATCCGCCTGGAGCCCCCAGGGGCCTGGGTCAGCCGCACCTGGACGCCACTGGCTCCCCAAGCCCAGGAACGCAAGGCAGCAACCGAGGAGGAACGTGGAACTCCTGACGTGAGTCCCAGTGGGGTGTGTGTCCTCTTCAGTCTGATGCTCCCTGGGGACGGAGACACGGACGGCTCTCAGGACCCACAGACACGTGGACGGAGACACGGACGGCCCTCAGGACCCACAGACACGTGGACGGAGACACGGACGGCTCTCAGGACCCACAGACACGTGGACGGAGACACGGACGGCCCTCAGAACCCACAGACAGACACGTGGACGGAGACACGGACGGCTCTCAGAACCCACAGACAGACACGTGGACGGAGACACGGACGGCCCTCAGAAGCCACAGACAGACACGTGGACGGAGACACGGACGGCCCTCAGAAGCCACAGACAGACACGTGGACGGAGACACGGACGGCCCTCAGAACCCACAGACAGACACGTGGACGGAGACACGGACGGCCCTCAGAACCCACAGACAGACACGGACGGCCCTCGGGACTCAGAGACACACACACATGTGGACGGAGACACGGACAGCAGTGCACACCGTGGCCCGGGCTGGTTTCTGGTCAGCGTGGGGTGGGCAGAGGACTGGGACCCCCGCCCGCCAGGCCCTGGGAGCAGCAGAGCAGGGCGGGGGGTGTGGAATGGGCACAGGGCGCAGCCTTCCCACACTCCTGCTGCCCAGGGCCCCTCGGCTGGCACACTGACTCCACCGCAGGTGTCCGCACGGGGGAGGGGGGTGTGCCCGTGGGGGGTGTCCACGTGGGGGGCTGCCTTGCCATGAGCCTCTGCACCACTCGGAGGGCCATGTCAGACCCATGGATCACGGAGGTGTGACTTGGGGGCCGCCAGGCAGGAGCCAACAGAGATGCTGAGGACCCCAGGACACCCCAAAACCTAGTCCTAAGCCCAGCAGCAGGCCAGAGCATGGGACCACACCCTGCCAACCTCAGGCCCCTAGCACATCGCGTGAGCCTGGAGCGCACGCACCTGGGACGGCTCAGGGGCCTGCCCCACCCCCAGTCTGGCAGCCAGGTGATCGTCCACACGGCAGACAGCTGGTGAGCTGTCGAACCGGAGCCCAAATCTGCACACCCGCCCCCACCCCCACCCCGCCAACCGCCATGAATATGCAGATGGACCTGCTCCCACCCCCACTGGGCACAGAGGCCACAGCGTCATCCAGGAGACCCCCTCAGATGGGACGTCCCACCTCTGCACCACCCTGGGATGTGGGGGCTGTGGCAGGAAAGGCAGGCCCAGGCCAGCGCCCCCACGTGGCCACCGCCCGGGGCCCAGCCTGCACCGACCTCGTGGACAGAGATGCCTTCCACATCCACGTCTTCGTTGGAAGAGTTCTCAGAGTCCTCCGATGACAGGAAGTCAACATCAAAGACGTCCCTGCCAGAGACAAAGGGTGGCCGGTTGCCAGGGAGACGGAGGCAGTGCCCCAGCCTCGGCAGGAGGCCCCTGGGAGTGTGAACCCTGCAGGGAACAGGTGTGGACGGCCCTGGGAAAACACAGGACACGGACAGACGTGGACAAGGCACGGCCCCCAGATCGTGGGCAAACCAGTGGCACCTCTAACGCTGTCCCATCCCGTTCTGCACTGTGGGCAGTCCTGCTCGGCGCTGGGCAGTGGGGGCAGTCGGCAAGAGCCCCTGGCTACACTCTGAACACGTTCTTACAGGACAGCGCTCTCTGCACATGGGCAGACCAGCCCTGTGCCTGCCTGAGACCCACACTGAGACCCCAACCCATCAGACCAGCCGCGTCCCTGCCTCAGGCCCACGCGGGGCCCCAACCCATCAGACCAGCCCCGTCCCTGCCTCAGACCCATACGAGACCCCAACCCATCAGACCAGCCCTGTCCCTGCCTCAGGCCCACGCGGGCCCCCCCCATCAGACCAGCCCTGTCCCTGCCTCAGGCCCACGCAGGCCCCCCCCATCAGACCAGCCCTGTCCCTGCCTCAGGCCCACGCGGGCCCCCCCCATCAGACCAGCCCTGTCCCTGCCTCAGGCCCACGCGGGCCCCCCCGTCCCTGCCTCAGGCCCACGCGGGGCCCCAACCCATCAGACCAGCCCCGTCCCTGCCTCAGACCCATACGAGACCCCAACCCATCAGACCAGCCCCGTCCCTGCTTCAGACCCACGCGGGGCCCCAACCCATCAGACCAGCCCTGTGCCTGCCTGAGACCCACGCGGGGCCCCAACCCATCAGACCAGCCCTGTCCCTGCCTCAGGCCCACGCAGGCCCCCCCCATCAGACCAGCCCTGTCCCTGCTTCAGACCCACGCGGGGCCCCAACCCATCAGACCAGCCCTGTCCCTGCCTCAGACCCACGCGGGGCCCCAACCCATCAGACCAGCCCTGTCCCTGCCTCAGACCCACGCGGGGCCCCAACCCATCACACCAGCCCCGTCCCTGCCTCAGACCCACGCGGGGCCCCAACCCATCAGACCAGCCCTGTGCCTGCCTGAGACCCACACTGAGACCCCAACCCATCAGACCAGCCCCGTCCCTGCCTCAGGCCCACGCGGGGCCCCAACCCATCAGACCAGCCCCGTCCCTGCCTCAGGCCCACGCGGGGCCCCAACCCATCAGACCAGCCCCGTCCCTGCTTCAGACCCATACGAGACCCCAACCCATCAGACCAGCCCTGTCCCTGCCTCAGGCCCACGCGGGCCCCCCCCATCAGACCAGCCCTGTCCCTGCCTCAGGCCCACGCAGGCCCCCCCCATCAGACCAGCCCTGTCCCTGCCTCAGGCCCACGCGGGCCCCCCCCATCAGACCAGCCCTGTCCCTGCCTCAGGCCCACGCGGGCCCCCCCCATCAGACCAGCCCTGTCCCTGCCTCAGGCCCACGCGGGGCCCCAACCCATCAGACCAGCCCCGTCCCTGCTTCAGACCCATACGAGACCCCAACCCATCAGACCAGCCCCGTCCCTGCCTCAGATTCACACCAGGACCCCAACCCATCAGACCAGCAACCCTTCACGGCCAACCCAAGGCTCTGCTCTGGAGAAACCCACGAGGATGACCACGAAACCATGCAGGCAGAGGCCCGACAGGCTGCCCCACTGAGGGCAGACCCCTCCACCCCGACCTGGAGGACGACGGCCTCACCTCTTGGACTTCTGGCCCTTGGAGGAGTTTCTTGCCTCTCTGTCCCCTGCGCTGGAGCTGGCCAGGCTATCTGGTGTCCAGGTGGAGCACGTCCCCACGGGCAGCTCTGCGGTGCCAGGAGCGGTCAGCCACAGGGCCCCAGGGCCACCCCTCCCGACCCCGGACACCCTCCCCACCTTGGGGCCGCTTGCTGTCTTTGCATATGGCGTCAAACGGGTTGGCGGCGGGCTCCTCCTCCCCCTGGGCCACGTAGTCTGTCCTCATCAGGGACTTGCGGTAGACGAGCATGGGGTTCATGTCCCCCTCCCCAAAGACAGGCACGCCCTCGGGGATGGAGTCTTGGAAGTGGGCAAGTCTGTGGGCAAGGGTGGACGTGGCAGGGGGCTGTCAGAGGAGACCCGGCAAGATCCCCAGGAACCCATGGGGCCCCCGGTGTCCATCCCCTGCTGGGGGCTAAGGACCATGGAGCCATGCTGGAGGGGTGCCACCCAGTGGCCGCAGGTCCTGCAGCCCAGAGCCAAGCGCCCCCCAGGACCCCAAGCAGGCCTGCGTCAGCCCAGGGAAGGCAGCCCTCAGCAGGGTCATCCACATCCGAGAACCTTCCCATTTCCGCATTCCCCTCCCCACAGGGCTCCCACCCCCGTGTCCCCAGGAGCCCGTCCCTGCCCCCACCACCCAGGGGTCCCGCCTTCCCAGGTCCCCAGCACACTCACGCAGCTTGTCGCTCTGCTGGCGGGATCTTGCAGGAGAACTCGGCGAGCACAAGCAGGAAGCTGAGGTTGGGGAAGCGCTGCCGAGCCTCCTCTTCAGGCACTGGGGACTCAGAGAAGGCAAAGGCCAGCCCGCGCCTGGGGACAGGGTGTCCAGTGGACAGGGGCCGTTCGGCAGATGCACAGACGGGAAGGGGGTGGGGCGTCAGGTGGGGCTCACCTGGGGGAGCGGGGCATCAGGTGGGGCTCACGCGGGGGACAGGGTGCCAGGCAGGGCTCAGACCAGGGATGGGGGTCAGAGCGGGGAGCACGGCGCCAGGCAGGGCTCCAACCAGGGGCGGTAGTCAGAGTCAGGAGCACGGCGCCAGGCAGGGCTCGGATCAGGGGCGGGGGTCAGAGCGGGGAGGACGGCACCAGGCGGGGCTCAGACCAGGGGCGGGGCACAGGAGGCGGTGTTGTCAGAGAGCACCCCTCCCCCAGCACACACCTGTGGATCAGGTGGGCAGCGTCCCGGGCACGGTCAAAGCCGAGGGTGAGCGCAAAGCGGCGGGCCAGCAGCCGGATGGAGTAGAAGGGGCCGCAGATGAACTCAATGGGGTCATAGCCAAGGCCGTACGTGTCCACGTGCTTCTGGAACAGCTGTGGGAGCACAAGGGGCCGTGGGGTCAGGGTCGCCAAAGGCGCGTCCCAGGGGACTGAGGTTCAAGGACATCCAGAGAAGCCTCCCCTCCACCCCCAACCAGCGCCCCCCAGTGGCGAAACTTGCCCATGACACCCGCAGAGAACAGGTGCAGGGGCTCCTCCGCAGAGCCACCCCCAGGCGGGGATGGGGGGAGGGGGCGGGGACCACGTGGCACAGACCACGACCCATGGCGGGGGCCGGGCAGCCCGCAAACGTCCCACGGGCACCCAGACCGCCGCGTCACGTCTGCTCAGCGACGGCTCAGCGACCACCCCTGTGTGTCAGACTCAACAGGAAACCAGCGAGGGAGAAGGAGCTCCCGATTTACAGAGAAATCACACACACACACACACACGGAAGGGGACACGGGGGGGCGCGACATGGCCGGGACGTGCCCCCAACGTTCCACGCTCGCTCTGGGGAATCTGCATCACCTCAGCGTCGTACACGCAGACCCGTTCTATGAGGACGAGGAAGGAGGCCGTTTCCAAAGGAACAATGGCAGGAAAGAGTCCGACCTAAAGGCGGGCCTCAGTGTGAGGGTCGGGAATGTGCACGGCCTCCAGAAACGGGAACGAGAAGCCGTGTTCCAGGAAAACCACCGGGTAGAGACAGCCCAGCAAGTGTCTGCGAAAAGGCCTGCCCACCGCGCCCACAGGCAGCCCGAGCACAAGGACCGGGACCCATGCTGGCAGAGGGGATGCCAGATCCCGGCCCTTCCTGATACATCCGCGGAGGCTCCACTCCCCAGAGAGAAACGAGACCATGGCAGCCGCGGAGGCTGGCGGGCAGTCGGCTGTGTGGGGAACCGTGATTCCAGCATTGAGGACCACAGGCAGTCCTTGCAGAGAGCTCAGAGCCAGGTGGGTGGCCCCAGATGCGGTGCACAAAGCCAGAACAGGGACCGACACAGTTGAGTCCGAGACCCCGCTGTCGCATAACCCCACACAGCCTCGGCGAGAACCTCCCTGCACGTGGACGTGGCCCCTCCTGACACTAGATGCAAACACGCCCGTGTGAAAGCAGAACAGAGCAGGGAACACACCACCTGTCCGAGTCGTGGTTCCACGGATCTGGGTAAACCAGCTGCCACGGGGATGGAAGAACCAGAGTCACACACCACACACGTGTGCACATGGTGTCATGACAGACTGACACGGAGAAGACAGACGCTCCCCGCTCAGGGTCAGTGGACGGGGAAGGGGGGGCACCCACCCTGAAGGTCAGTGGATGGGGGATGAGGAGGATGGGGGGGACGCCCACCCTGAGAGTCAGTGGACGGGGGAGGGGGGATGCCCTCCTGAGGGTGAGTGGACAGGGAAGAGGGGGACACCCACCCTGAAGGTCAGTGGATGGGGGGACACCCACCCTGAGAGTCAGTGGATGGGGGATGGGGGGATGGGGGGACGCCCATCCTGAAGGTTAATGGATGGGGGATGGGGGATACCCCCCTGACGGTCAGTGGATGGGGAAGGAGGGACACCCCCATGAGAGTTAGTGGATGGGGGATGGTGGGACGCCCACCCTGAGGGGCAGTGGATGGGGGATGGGGGGACACCCACCCTGAGGGGCAGTGGATGGGGGAGGGGGAACCACCCCCTGAGGGTCAGTGGATGGGGGATGGGGGGACACCCACCCTGTGGGTCAGTGGATGGGGGATGGGGGAATGCCCACCCTGAGGGTCAATGGATGGGGGAGGGGGGAAGGGGGGACACCCACCCTGTGGGTCAGTGGATGAGGGATGGGGGAGATGGGGGGGATGCCCATCCTGAAGGTCAATGGATGGGGGATGGGGAAAGGGAGACACCCCCCTGAGAGTCAGTGGATGGGAAAGACGGAGATGCCCCCTGAGGGTCAGTGGATGGGGAAGACAGGGACGCTCACCCTGAAGGTCAGTGGATGGGGGAGGGGGGTACGCAACCACTCTGACGGTCAGTGGTCTGCAGGGGACACCTACCCTGAGGGTCAGTGGATGGGGGGACAACCCCTTGAGGGTCAGTGGATGGGGATGGGGGACACCCACCCTGTGGGTCACTGGATGGGGGAGGGGGGATGCCCACCTTGAGAGTCAGTGGATGGGGATGGGGGACACCCCCTGAGGGTCAGTGGATGGGGAATGGAGGAATACCCTCCCTGTGGGTCAGTAGATGGGGGAGGGGGGACACCCCCATGAGAGTTAGTGGATGGGGGATGGTGGGACGCCCATCCTGAGGGTCAGTGGATGGGGGAGGGGGGAACAACCCCCTGAGGGTCAGTGGATGCGGGATGGGGGACATCCACCCTGAGGGTCGGGGACACCCCCTGAGTCACTGTTAGGAGACCCAGCTCACCAGGAAAGCCGGCTGTGGTGGACTGAACATCTGTGTCCCCCAGAGTCCACACGTGCAAGCCTGGCCCCCAAGGGGGCTGCTGGGAGGCGGGGCCTTGGGAGGTGGTTGGGAGCAGATGAGGTCAGAATGGCGGGACCCCCACGGTGGGGTAGCGTTCTCGTAGGTGTGCAGAGAGAGCTTCCTGAGTTCCACCCATGGCCACGTGAGGACACGGCGGAAGGGGCCCGTCCATGACCCTCTAGAGGTCTCCCCAGAACCTGACCCCACTGGCACCCTGACCTTGGACTGCAGCCTCCAGCACACGGGAGGAAAAAGGGTCTGACCTGCCAGCCACCCTGTCCGTCCGTCTGTCCGTCTGTCTGTCCATGGCACGCTGTGACCGCCAGGCTGCCGACGTGCACCCATCTCGAGCGGCTGCTCACACAGCACGAACGGGTGCAGGACTCCCGAGGAGCGGGCAGTGAGGCACAGCGGCACCCGTGCCCGGTGTGTCCCCAAGGAGGCGCACCCCTCCGGGCCTGGGCGACGCAGGGCGGCCCGGTGCCGCAGGCAGCGGCCGCAGGGCGCCGTCAGACCTTCCGGAACCGTCCGCTCACCTGCTGCAGGCACAGAAGCAGGGACAGCGCATTGCGGAGCCTGTCGTTCTGCCTCGTCCTCGTCATGGTCTCCTTGATGATGTCGCCAAAGTGATGGTAGTGCTGCGAGTCCAAGGAAAGGACCGTCACCACGGTGGCCACCGAGGCACAGCCTCCTTACTACGCGTGTTCCCAAATGACAAACTAAGGACGGCCGTGCAGCCCAGAGCCACTGGATCCCAGGAAGTCCGTGAACGTGGATCCCGCTGTGCACTCAGCACCAACCGGGCCCTGTGTTGGGGCCAGGCCCTGGGCCGGCAGGACAGGGCGCATCCCACATGACCTGGGGAAGCTGTGGCCATCGGGCATCGCAGTCCAGGGGCCCAGGTGCGCCCCCAGCACTGGCTGGGCCCCTCCCTCAGGAGCGCTCCTTCTGTGGGGAAAGGCAGGGCCACCAGGGGAACTATGGGCCGGGAGCGGGAGCAAGGCCTTTCAGAGTCACACCGACCTGCCTGTGCCGGAGCTGAGCCAGCCCGCGGGCGCACAGCCCCAAGAGCTGACCAAATGTCTGACAACACACAGCCGCCGTCATGGCCCCCAGAACCTAGGAGGGTAGGCTCAGTGCACAACTGCATAGGAGGGAAGTCCCGGGAGAGGAGAGCACCACCCCAACACACAAGACGCAGGGGAAAACCCAGGCAAGCCTGTCCCTACACCCCATGCCATAAAGCTCAGGACCGTGTGAGGTTAAAACGGGGAGAAGAGAAATACCATCACAAAAATAAAACTCAATGAAAAGGTAATCGAGGGAACGTATTTCCCACAGATAACAAAGGACTAATGTCTTCGTTGTGTTACAAGACACCAAAAGAAGGTCTTGAGATGATGATTTCTGAGAAAGGAAATGACAGTGACTGACAGATGTATCTATTCACCCACCCAGCCATCCATTTATCTACCACCCACCCATTGAACCATCCATCTACCCACCCACCCATTTATCCATCCATCTACCCATCCATCCATCCATCCATCCATCTACCCATCCATCCATCCATCCATCCATCCACCCATCCACTTATCCATCCACCCATTTATCATCCATCCACCTATCCACCCATCTATTCATCTGTTTACTTATGCACCCATCCATCTATCCATCCACCCACCCACCCATCCATTTATCCACCCATCCACCCATCTATCCATCCACCCACTTATCGAACCAACCACCTATCCACCCATCTATTCATCTGTTTATCTACCCATCCATCCGTCTACCCATGCACTCATCCACCCATCATCCACCCATTCATTTATACATCCATCCACCACCCACCCACCCATTTATCCATCCATCTACCTGTCCCTTTATTCATCCATCCATTTATCCATCCATCTACCCGTCCACCTATTTATCCACCCATCTACCCATCCATCCATCTACCCATCCATCCACCCATCCACCTATCCATTTATCTATTCATCTACCCACCCACCCATCCATTTATCCATCCATCCACCCATCCATTTATCCATCCATCCACCCATCCATCTACCCACCCACCCATTAATCCATCCATATCTCCATCCACCCATCCACCCACCCACCCACCCATTAATCCATCCATCCATCCATCCACCCATCCACCCACCCACCCACCCATTAATCCATCCATCCATCCATCCACCCATCCACTTATCCATCCACCCATTTATCAATCCAACCACCTATCCATCCATCCGTTTATCTACCCACCCGTCCATCTATCCATGTGCTCATCCATTTACCCATCCATGCATTCATCAAAACTTTTGGGCTTTTGTCAATACCAGACAGTGATGATAATCACTTGGGATACGTCAGTGATCAAAGCCAAAAAGATCAAGTCCCTGCCCTCACAAGGCTTGCATTCCATCTCAGTAGTAATGAAAGAATGAAATTAAAACAGCAGTGCTTCACCGAACGAGACCACCTAGTTTTAAAAGACAAAATGTGGTGTTCTAAATGAAAATACTCTCTAGGAGTTAGGTTTGGAAAGAGGTGTTAGTGATATAAAAATGCTTATGAGGAACGCCTGGGTGGCTCAGTTGGTGAAGCATCTGCCTTCAGCTCAGGTCATGATCCCAGGGTCCTGGGATCGAGCCCACATGGGGCTCCTTGCTCAGGGGGGAGCCTGCTTCTCCCTCTGCCTGCTCTGCCTACTGCTCCCCCTGCTTGTGTGCTCTCTCTGACAAATAAATAAATAAAATCTTGAAAAAAAAGATTCTAAAAATGCTTATGAGGCACTCACAGGGATGCCGCCCACACGCACACACAGGTGGGCTGATCCACGGGAGTTGGTGAAGGAAACGGGAGAACGAGTTAATGACAATGAGTCCGTAAATCTGGGTACTTTCCACTCATGTTCTCCGTGCATTTGGAATCTTTTACCCCAATCCTGTGTCTTACACAAGAGAGCAGTGGGCGGGGGAGGGTGAGCTCGGGCCGCGGGGACGGGAGAGCCGGGCAGAGACCTTCAGGTAGAACTGGTAGATGTCGGCGGCCGCGCTCATCTCCAGCACGTTGCAGACAATGAGCTTACAGACCACGGCCAGCATGTTTCTCCTGTGGAACAGCTCATGCAGCTCGTCCGCATCCTCCTCCTTGTAAACTCTGCTGGGACCTGGAGAGACAGCCCACTCTCTGCCATGTCTTCCTGCAGCCCCCCCTTGCCACGGGGCAGCCGAGGGGCAGGCAGGGGCATGGCAGGGGCACAACAGGGCACAGCAGGGAGTCTGATGGGGGGGGCTCAGGGGTGCCAGCGTCATCTCCAGGGACCAGTGCCAGGACAGCAGTGGGTCAGAACCACCACCGGACATGCTGACCCCCAGAGCACAGACCCAGGGCCACACAGGAAGCACCGAGTGCCGCAGGGCCTCTGTGTTCCCAGGTCCTGACCGCCTGGCCAGGGCTCCCCCCAACCCTTCTGCAGCAGCGTGAACCAGGAAGACAGACGTGTGGGAAATGCAGCTCCAGATTGCAGGGTGCTAGAGCACCCCACAAGGCCCATCCACCTCCCTCCCCAAGCCCCCACGGGCCCTCCCGCCCCTGGGCTGCCGCAGGTATCCCCACCCCAAGGTCTCTCCCCCTTCCCTGCTCCAGGCCCCTGGGAGGCTGACCTGCGGCTCCTGTGTCCTCCAGGAACACATGCTCCCTGACGAAGGTGAGCAGCTTGCACTGCAGGACGTGATCGGGGACGAAGAACAGTAGCCCCAGGCCCGTGTCCTCTTCAGGGCCCTGGTGGCTCAGGATGAGCAACAAGTCACAGAGCAGGATGAAGGCCTGAGGGGGTGTGAGGGGGTGGGGGTGAGGGTGCACCGACAGGGACAGGCATCCACCCCACAAGGAGAGATCCCGTCGGCTGCCCCCGCAGCCTCCGAGGGCAACCCAGGGGTGGGTGAGACCCATAGCACAGGAAGGGGTACAGCCCCCGGCCCCTCGAAGACATCCTCCCTCTGAACCCCACCCTGCAAGCTCTACACCACAAACACACAACACACAGACGTACAACATACAAACCAGAAACAACACACAGTGAACGGAAATGTCCCCAACATCCAGGCAGGACAGCGGTGCAGGCTAAAGCCGTGGCCAAAGCCCCATGGACAGGAAACCACGGACACATGCTTGTGACCGAGGGGGGCGGGGCAGGGGCAGGGTCACAGGACAGAATCAGTGGCTGGAAAGGGAGACACACGCTCAACCTCCTCAGCCATCGACGGTCAAACGGGAGGTAGGTTTTATCTAAGACAACAGGAGAGGGTCTTTTTAAAATTCACACCCACATCGGAAAAAAGCAGGCAGGTGACTGAGCCCGTAAGGTGGCAGGAAGCAGGGTGGCTGGGTCCGGCATCGTGAAGCCTTTAGAACGGCTTCCCCGGAGACAGGAGATCACCCTGAAGATTTCGTGTACCGCAACCACCAGAGACACGGTGGGCAGGAATTAACACCAAGCGTGTCCACCACCACAGCACTGGTAGCCGATGACAGGAGCTTCCACCAGGCTGGTATAAACGGGCCGTGCGCATGGGCTCCCGTAAACCGGGGCCATGAGCGTGGGCTCTGGGCTCCCGTTAATGGGGGACGTGCACGCGGGCTCTGCGCTCCCATCATTGGGGGACGTGCACGCGGGCTCTGCGCTCCCGTCATTGGGTGGGGGGGAAGAGGCATGCACATGGGTTCCCATAAATCGGGGCATGCAAAGGCATGCACACCACTTCATATAAATGAGATGCTCCCACGACTTTACACTGTTTGAGGACAAATGTCACCCCACGAGACACACACTGAGAGGAGAAAACAGCATCCCATGCAACACTAAGTGCCCTGATCATCACAAGCACACGTGCCCGGGCGTCTCTAACGCCCCTCCTCTTGCCCGGCCAGCCCGGGGAGCACCCGGTGAGCACGGAGAGGGACACACGCACCTTCTCGCTCAGCACCTTGCTCTGGTGGTTCAGGTACACGCGGCAGACCAGGCAGAACTTCATCAGCCTTTTCCTCAAGTCCAGGAGCGCCTCCTGCCAGCGAGCAGCCAGCGTGCAGGTGCCTCCCGTCAGGTGAACCCGTGAGCGAGCTCGCCAGGTACCTGCCCGCCTCAGGTGAGCCAGCGCGTCAGGTGCATCCCAACACAGATTAACCCTCACGTCCACCCTCCGTCCTCCACTTCCCAACCTCCCCCCACATCCCTCTCCCCCATGTGTACCCCCACATCCCCTTTCCCCCATCTCCCTCCCCCTCCCCCATCTTTACGCCCATATCCCCTTCCCCATCCCCCCCCCAGTATCTCCATGGTCCCCCACACCATATTCTCCCCCCACTGGTCCATACTACATCCCAAGGAACTCAGGCATGCAGATTTCCAGGAAACCATAAATATAGCCCGAAAGTGTGGTTGGCTTCAAACTAAGGGACTGGCCAGCAGCCAAGGACAAGGGTCTCCCCCAGCGCACACAGAAGCAGGTACTCAGAGATCACCTGAGCCTCACTCCGCATGGCAGGTGGACAGGCTGCATGGCGGTGTCGGCCATGACCCAAAGTCAGCTCTCATGTCAGAGTCCAGGAGCCCTGGCCGGACCCCGGGAGGATGGATGCAGCCAGTGGTGGGGGCGGACGACTGTCAAAGCGGCAATGACGGCCCTGTCCCCCTCCATCTTCCCCTCCTCCCAGACTACTGCAGGCCACACCTGACCTCCTCCGCGCCCCTCACCCACCTGGGGCGGCAGCCGGTCCGTGGCTGCGACGATCTGCCACAGGAGCGCATAGTAGGTGCACTGGAGCGCACAGTGGACAACCTGTGGGGCGCGGAGCCTGTCATGGAGTTGGGGATGTGGATGGGACACCCACCCTGGGAATACTCCTCAGCACAGGACCCTGAGACCTCACCCAGTACCTGCCCCTCCCTCCTCAGGACCCTCCCCCCATGCTTCCCTCCTCTCAGAACCCGTCCCCCCTGCCCCCAACAAGGACCCACCCCTCACGCCCTCCGCCCTCACCTCAGTGGGCAGGCTGCCCTGGTGCCTCCGGAAAGTCAGCAGGCTATCCATCTTCTCGTACAGGTTCCAGCTGCTCAGGTCGTGTGCACTGGCCAGAAACGCACACAAGGAGTTTTAGGGCCCAACCCCATCAAGAGCTCCAACATCCCCCAGGTGAGCCGTGAACACTGGTCAGTAGGCCCTGGAGCTGAGGGATCACTTCCTGGCCGGGTGAGGGGCCACCCACCCCAGATGGCTGAGCTGGGCTCCCTCCGGTATGACGTCCAGCACCTGCTTGGTGAGGCAGTCCCTGCTCCTGGGAACACGGCTCAGGGCCCCAGGTGGGCAGGATGGGCTCCCAGGTGCCCCAGAGCCGCCGGGCACACCCACAGGACAGCCCCCAAAGGTCTGAGCGCTCCCCGCCTCACCTGGGACACGGGGACGTTTGTCAGAGTAAGGCAGCAGGCACATGGCTTGGGGGTCACGTGTGTCCCCCCGAGGGAACCGGCCGCGCGTCGCCCCACTCACCTGTAGAAGGCAGCCAGTCTCCGCAGCGTGGAGCAAATCCGCCCCATCTCACCGTGTCCAAGGAACAGGCCCTGTTTCTACACACCGGGGAGAGAGCAGAGGGGGTGGTGATGGGACAGGCACTTTCCGGGGGGGGCTTCCCCGGGATGCCAGACCGGCTTCGAGCCAGGCCTGCGCTCCCTGCCTGCTCTGTCCCCCACTTTCCGGAAGGCAGCTCTTTAAAATCTCAAAAAGGGCAACAGTGCCCCAGGCCATTCTGTGTCCAGCTCTGGAGGAAATGAGGGGGAGCAGAGGACACCCCCAAAGACGCGTAGGCTGCTGACGACGAGGACAGTCAGGGTCTGAGATCTACCATCTCTGTGCACTTCCCTCACATCCCCGTCAAGAACGCACGACAGGGAATACGTTTCTCACTTTACAGCTGAGAGAACACACGGAGAAGCGTGTCGCTGACCTCGAGCTCCCCACATTCATGGCAGGCCCTGGGCTGGGGGATATGCAAGAGCAGCCTGGAGTCCTGCTTGTGGAAATACGCGGGACCTCACAAGGAAAGTGCCTGAAGCAGGGCCAGACACCTGGCCTTCAGCCTGTCTGTGTCAATAAAGTTTTATTGGAACATGGCCCCAGTGACGTGTTGTCTCTGGTGCTCTCGTACTACCACCCGAGAACAGGTTTACCCACTCAGCCAAAAATGTTTACGATGTGGCTCTTTACAGAAACCATCTGCCCGCCAAGTGTAGACAGGCCAGTGCCTCTGTCAGGCCGTGTTTTCTGGGGGCTTACAGGGCTCCTGCGGAGAATAACGGGATACTTTGTTACCAGCCCCCACACGTTCCCACACCCAGTACAGATGCAGCAGGAACAGTCAGGGCTCAAACGGAGAACCCACCCTGTGTCCCCAGAGACCAAGAGCCGGTCCCCCAGGTACACGCTGGCGAGTTCACGGAGCTGACCCCCGACAGGTGCGCAGCTTTACGAAACGTCAACAGAACAGAAAGGACTGAGCCTAAGCATCTTCGATCAGCATGTCCTCCCTACCGCCGTGGATTTCTCCCCGCCTCACAACACACTCCATACCCACACCTATACCCAACGTGCAGACCACCCACATCACACACCCCACTCCCCCAAACACCCCCACAGCCAGCACCTCATGTTGGATGAACACGTCCAGCAGTGGGGTCAGCACGTCCACCAGCATGTCCACCAGCCGGCTGCAGGCAGGGGCAGCCTGGCAGTGGGCAGAGCCCCCTTCGTCACAGTAGGTGCCGTAGGCGCGGGCACAGGCCTCCAGCACCGCCACGTCCGAGTGCCGCTGCACCAGGCAGTCCAGCTCTAGCAGGGCTGCGTCCAGGTACTACGCAAGGCGGGGGGG